GAAAGGATCAGTGCGGAGAACTGCAGCTCTGCTGCTACTCCAGAAAAGAAAAAGCTCTGCTCATTCAATGAGATCAAGACGAACGGCAACCTGGGCACGACTCATCATTCTGATGATGGATACTCAAGGTACTAATATTTATCTTCTATGTCAGTTATGGTCCAATTATCGTGCGTGCTACATTATTCAGTTATGGGATATGATTGTTCATAACTGCTAGATGCCATGTTGTATCAACCAACAAATTATATGTTTCAAATTGATTGGGTTTTTCAAGTATCTATTTTCCTTTCACTAGTGATTCAGTCTTGAAGAGTGCATCTAATGATTTCAAGAAAATGGGGCAGCGTATATTTGTATTTATAATTGGTGGTGCAACTCGGTCTGAGGTAAAATCACTGCTCATCTCCTTTGTTCATCTTGAGTCTGAATGTGGATCTCTTGTGCTAATCCGGCCTTGTACGGGATTTTACCTGATGGTTTCTGGGGTGTTAATGTCAGCTTCGAGTTTGTCACAAGCTCACAACTAAATTAAGGAGGGAAGTAGTCTTGGGTTCTTCTAGTTTTGACGATCCTCCACAGTATATTACGGTAATATATTTGTTACTTCTACTGGTCATTGTTGCAGTGTAGTGTAGGATGTAAGAGAAATTTACTTTACATGGCAGTAGGTTTTTAAGGCTCCAACACTAATGCCTAAAACTCACATGTAACGAGTTGGAAAAAGGATATTTATAAAAAAAAATTGTCAGAGGTTCTAAATGAAAAAACTTTTTATTAGAGGGTATTCTTCCTTCTTTCGGAAACCTCCTATAATTTCCACAAGGCCATTTCGACCTTGGATGAATATATCTTCTATTTCTAACCTAAATGCAGAACACATGGAGAGTCTGGATGCTCTTCTGAATGCAAGCTTTCTGAGTGTGTTACCGTGATTGTGTATGACTTATATCATGTTTAACATATATATACCCAATCAGTTCAGAGACCTATCTGCATTTTTCCATATAATACATAGCAGTGGAGTAGCATAAGCATTTAAATAACAAATTTTCGTTGCATGATCTTCATACTGTTACCTTTGCTATATATGCATCTATAAGGATGAAAATATCTGCTGATGCAAAATTAGAAGGTAAAATTGCCAAAAATTTTAGCACTGGATATAAGTTCCTAAACTTCAGAGGATCTGTTGAGACTTTGATTTGATTCCCTCCTGAGCCCCTTTATTCCAAGTTCTAGCTCTATTGACTTAATTGTTTCCCATTATTACATTTTTTTCCCTACTATCTGCAGAAACTGAAGAGGCTCTCTGAAAATGAAGTGCCAATTGATGGCCTGAGAATCTACTAGTTTAGATTTTACGGATGTACATGCGTTTATGCAACCCCAGCAGGTTAATTTCTGCTATTTCAAGTAGTGAACAATATGTTCTTACCATCTCATTTGAGATATATATTAATCAATCTAGAGTACAGAATCGCGGACGAGTTTTTCTGCACGTAGCAGTGGCTTGAGGGTAAAGATAGTCGGAGATAGGCTGATTGTTTAGCAATCACCAGCACAATTGCTTAGCTTCAACATGGAGTTTTTGTGTTCACATTGTATAGAAATCAATATATGTATCAATACAGGGTAATTGTTTCCCATATTGTTTTGGTGGGTGATTAGATTGTTGTCCCAGGGGAAATAAATAAATTCATTATTTATCACATGAAATATGGGGGATGCCTTCAGATTTTTTCTCTGGAGTTCACATGTCCCTTCTCTTATAGACTTTGTACCTGTTGGAAATATAAGAATCAGTACTGTCTTCTTCTTTTGCCCCACGCTTAAAAACTATCTTATTTAATCTACTTTTGCTGTCTTCTTCTTTTGCCCCACTATTTTTGCAATGTTTTAAGACTGCGTTTGAAACGAGCTTAAGAAGATGGCAAAAATTTGCTGGCTAGAAACTGATTCCATGTTCAGCAAAAGTAGATTAAATAAGATTTTTCTCTTTATAGAAAAAAAAACAAGTAAATGACAGTATAAAATATCATTTTAATAATAAAAAATTAAGCCCAGAAGGTAGTAGGTCCCTACTAGCTGATATTT